AACTGGAAGAAAAGATTTTAATCTTACATTTAGTTTATATGAACCAAGCCATTCTAGAGTTTATATATATCTTAAGTGATTAGTTATACCAGAGAGGGTGGTGAATTTAACAAAGATTGTATGAATGTTATGTCACTTTTATCGAAAGATAATCCCAATCAGGTTTTTGCAATTAATTTTTATAGTACCAATACCCATGTCAATCAAGTGTTTTTATGATAGTCCATATCTAAGTTCTAAATCAACAAAATATAATTTTAGAAACAAAAGCAAACCATATTAAACATGGATTGAAGGTTAGCAAAAAATATTAAACAAAATCAAAGATGAAAGTCAATCTCATGTGCTTAAGAATTGAAGCCAAACCTTATATGCTCTTCAAAATTCAAGTGCGAATTTATTTTTTGAGTAAAACAAAAACTTTGAAGAAGAAGAAAACAAGTGAGAGAGAGAGAGAGAGGGAGTAGGGTAGTCTAAAGAGAAAGAGGGTGGATGATGGTGAATTTAACAAAGATCGCATGAATATTATGTTGCTTTTCTCTAAAGATAATCCCAATTAGGCCTTTATAACCAACATTTACAATACCAACACTAGCATCAACGAGTGTTTACATGACAGTTCAAATTTAGGTGCTAAATCAACATAAGGTAATTTTAAAAACAAAATCAAACCATACACAAATATAAATTAAAGGACAATTTAAAAACTTAAACAAAATTGAAGATCAAAATCAATCTAATTGCTTAAGAACTAAAGCTAACCTTTATGTACTCTTCAAAATTCAAGTACAAATTCATATTTTGAGTAAAATAAAGACCTTGAAGAAGAAGAAATACAGGAGAGAGAGAAAGCAGGATATTCTTAAGAGAAAAGGGGTGAATGATGGTGAATTTAAAAAGGATTGCATGATATCATGTTGTTTTTTTAAAGATAATTTAAATTAGACTTTTATAATCAACATTTATAACACCAACACCTCAGTAATCGAATGTTTTCATGACAGTCTAGATCTAGGTGATAAATCAACAAAAAATAATTTTAGAAACAAAATCAAATCATATGTAAACATAAATTAAAGGCCAGTTAAAAGACTTAGACATAATCGAAGATTAAAGTTAATCTCACCTGCCGAATAACTGAATCTGTCCAAGAATTGAAACCAACCTTATATGCTCTTTAAAATTAAAGTGCGGATTCATTTTTTAAGTAAAATAAAGACTCTAAAGAAGAAGAAAAAATAGCAAGAGCGAGCAAGAGAGAGGGGGGCCACCGTATTCTAAAAAAAAAGAGGGTAGATGATAGTGAATTTAACAAAAATTGCATGACTATTTTTTTTTTTTTGAGATAATCCTAGTCCGGCTTTTGTAATCAATATTTATAACACCAACACCTCATCCTAGTATTTCCATGACAGTATAGATCTCGATGCTAAATCAACAAAATATAATTTTAGAAACAAAATCAAACCATATGTAAACATAAATTAAAGCCAACTAAAAAACTTAAACAAAATTAGAAATTAATTTCAATCTCATGCGCTCAAGAAATAAAGCTAACCTTATGTGCTCTTCAAAATTCAAGCTCGAATTCATGTTTTGAGTAAAACAAAGAAGAAGAAGAAGGGTATTCTAGAGAAAGAAGGGTGGATGGTGGTGAATTTAACAAAAATTGTGTGAATATTGTATTACTTGTCTCTAATAGTTTGCTTGGTTCTTAGTGAGAAAAACCAAGAGATTCTATACCTCAACAAAATAGCATTGAGAAGAGTAATTAGTGAGAAAAACCAAGAGATTCTAGCAGTGTAACCTCAACAAAATAGCATTGAGAAGAGTAAGTTTGGGTTAAAGTAATTAAAAAAATAGATCAAAACACTAGATTCAATTTTAATTTGGTTTTAGGGTTTGTGTTCATCCAAAAGGAAAGAGAAATTTATGCCCAATTAATATGCCATGTGTTCACTTTCTTAATTATATATTATATATGAGATTTGTTTGATTTTTCATTTAAATTTAAAATTGTGTTTAACTAGGATGTAAATCATAATTTTAGAAAGAATAAAAATAAAATATAAAAATAACTAAACTACAAGATAGTGAAGGCATTTTCTCTAATAAAAAGAAATGTGTGTTTGTGTATATTAGCTTTAGATACGGGACACCTTCTAATTAGGCCATTTATTTTAAACTAACTATAATTTACACTCAACTTAACTTAGGGATATATTGAAACAAGAAAATATAGTTGACGAACATAATAAATCAAAATAATAGTAAAATATTCTTGACGAGTTGTGCTTGTAATTCCCTCGCGAACTCCTCTTTTTGATAGAATACAAATGGATATTAAAATCAAAAGAAGTATTCATATGCTTATAATGAATAAATTAATGTATAATTCTGGTCAAGGAAATGCCACTATGAATTTGGAATTTAATGGGATGAACATAGAATTTAAGGAATACAAAAACTTGACTATAAGATCATATATTTTATAGTGCAATGATGACCATACATGCATCCACATATACTGGTAACAAAATGCATTTTTAAAGTTGTATTTTTATTAATAACATGTATAAGAAAAAATATCTTTTTAACTATTTTTTATTCTTATTTAATTTTAAAAAATATTTCCCTCTTGTATTGTTTTTTTTCTATTTAATTTAGTTTTCTATACAAATAAAGTAGATAAAAATCATATAAGAAAATCTAAAGCGCAAGTAACACAAAACTTTTTGAAACAAAGCTACGGCACGAAAACTTTAATTGAAAATTTTATTATGAAATGTTTTCTTTTCAAATAATCTTTTGAAATGAAAACTAAACTATAATTTTTTTATTTAAATACAAGCTACACAACATTATATATATTAATCTTATATCGAAATTAAATAAAAATAAATAAATTATTAAATTAAATAATTTTCATGAGTTTAACCGGACACAGTAACTTGAAATCTATATTTCTTATAAGGTCTCTCTTCTCGGCTTGATATTTACATGCATGGTTTAAAAAATAAGATAAATACTGGCAAATATAAAAATTAGTGTGATTTAAACAAAAAAAAATTAAGGAAAGAAATAGTTTATAGAAATAGAAGTTTGTAGTGTAGTTATTGAGCGACCTAACGGGTAACCTTGGTGGCTAGACCAGTTCATGTAAGATAAAAGACTGGTTAATGCAATAACCCAACAAACCTAGTTGACCCGACGGGTCGACCCATGACTCGGGCAACCCAGGACAAGACCTGATTTTTTTTTAAATGTGGCTTTTCTCCTATACCCCTCTTTTTTCATAATTTTTTAGTTAGTTATTAATATTTTTTAAAGTTCATTAAATAAATACTAGAAAAATATTTTATTTTTTCAATATATGATTTGAAATCCTTTAGCATATATATTCTATGTTCACAAGAAAAAAATATTTTTTCATTTGAAGCACTTTCATATATGTACTCTATGTTCACAAGAAAAAAATTAAGTTTTTTCAATTTGGGATACAAAATTTTTTTATTTAAATACTTTATTTAAAATGATAACATAATATCTTTTCAATATGAGATTTGGAACCCTTTAATATATATATCACTATTTCTTGTACACACACTCATACTCTATGTTCACAAGAAAGAAGTTATTTTTTCAATGTGGGGATTTGAAGCCCTTTAATATATATACTCTATGTTCACAAGCAAAAAAGTTATATTTTTTCATTGTGGAATAATTTTTTTAATTTAAATACTTCAACTTAAAAAGATAACATGATATCTTTTCAATGCGGGATAATTTTTTTTAAACTATTCTTTTAAATTTCATTATTTACAACAAATGTAGCATATATTTACATGAATTGTTTCTTAACTTTTTTTATATAAAATATTAAAACTTTAATTTTTTTTTAATTTTTTCAAGTTGACCTATAAATTTAATAACTATTAAAACTTTAATTTTTTTTAATTTTGAAACCTGTTAAGAATTGGATTTAATAACTATAATTTGTAGGACAGGGTAGGTCTGATTTTTTAAAAAAATAAAGAAGAAAGGGAAAAAAGAGAGACACAAGGGGATAGGATATCCCCAAATCTCGATAGGGAATATTATGCCATAACACTTACATGCATATCTCATATCTGAAAATAAGATCGCAGGAATTAAAGTTGTCATAAGAAATGACCTCCAATCTTAAGACTTGTATCCAAACTTTTTGACAAGATAATTGACAAGTGTGATAGAATTTTGGGTAGGTTTTTTTTTTTCTTCTTCCTCAGATAATCAAGTGAAAAAGAAAAAAAGGGTGTGGCATGAGTTTAACAATTCCAGGTCCATTGTGAAAAAGGAGCACAAACACCGCGTACGGATTTAAGGAATTTGGATATTAATCTACCAATATAATGGGAACAAAGCTATAGCTTCATTGTCAAAGTCACTTGCTATTGAACTCCATTGATGGAACAAACACTCTTGAGTGACCCTGATCACTAACCGGATGATTTGACTGCAAATGTTGTAGTGAGTTCTCTCTGGTTTTCAGGGTGTAGTTTCATTAATCAATGAGTTTGCAGTCAAATCAAATAAAGTTGAGTGTTCAAGTGAAGAAAACAATATGTCAAGAAATAAATAAAGTTGAGTGTTCAAGTGAAGAAAAATGTTGAAGATAACCTAAATTGCTATAAAATATTAGATTTTATAGGGAAACTTTTCTAGACAAAAGCAATGTGACTGACCAAAATACGATGAACATAGAATTTAAGGAATGAACATGCATGACTAGCTATAGTTTGATTAGCATTAGTGTTCTCCCTCAATCTAGCAATGTATTGAAGATTGATCTCGTCATAATCCCTGCCTGGGATGTCACTAAATAGCACATAACCCTAGCAAGCAGCAGCAAGTGCTATATATATCAACCAAGAAAAAAAAAAAACACGCAGAACAATTCTCAAGAATCTATCTAGGAGTAGCTCAAACCACTGAATTGAGTCCTCCAAAGACACAAAAAAGGGAGGAAAAAGAAAAGTGTACTTGGATTTCATATCCAAGGTATTACAAGCATAATTGATACTTCTGTATCTCAAGTTACTGTTAGTTCTTTAAGCCATGACTTATAACCTAATTTACAAAAAACAAATTTCGATAGACTAATTAAACCCCTCCTAGTGCAGTATTCTTTGCAAGTTACACTCCTAAATAACCATGTACTAATATATATATACACACACAGACTGCAATATTTGTGTATGATGAGTACTAGAATAGACAAGACTCTTGTCGTAGCTCAACCAGAAATTTTCATTCTTTTAGTTGTGGATTGGAGGCTTCTTTCTGGCTGGAGTGTAGTCCATCCCAACCAATTCCTCCACATCTGGTAAACCATTTTCTTTTGATGGAAACATATCATTTTGGTCCGTTTTCTCTGCTCCGTGGTTGCTAGCCTCTCGCAAAGTCCTTGCTGCTAGAAATATAAGAGAAGAGGAATCAATTAAGGAATAGTTAATTTACAATATCGAAACTTCAACTAGTTGTATAAAGATTGTCAGACATGGAAATTAGTTTACCTCTAGCACAAGTGGAAACAAAGCAAAGAAGGAAAAAGGCTACGAGAACAAGATGATTGCGTGAAATCTTTGCCATCTTAGGGCTTCCTTTTGGTTTATGTCAATATCTTGTTTTCTTTGTGTTGCCTCTTCGAACTGATCATCTCTTATATAGAAGTGGATTGGTACTTAGATGCCTACATGCTTGGACATGTGTTGCAGTCGACTGTGACCTAAATTTTTGTAGTAATTCTACGTGAGCAATTGTGGTCTTGTAAGTGTCAAAATCAATGTCTCGCTGCTGTCTCTGCATGACAATGCTAGCATAGATAAGACCGTCCTCCTGTTGAAAGCTAGAAATGTACCAGTTGACGGGGGTCACTTTTAATGCCTGTGTGTTAGGTACCTTCTATCTTCTCTCTCTTCGTGATTGTCTTAGATCGGATTAACTTATTTAATTTCATGTGAATTAATATACGTAGATGTTCAAGGCCCTTTGCTAGCTATAAGAAGTGGGATTTCTTTCATATCTTACTCTCCCTTTTTTTTTCTGTCAAATCGAGACAAAACACATTCAGCAAGGCTATTTTCAATCACACTTCAAGAGATGAATTCGTCTTGAAAATCCCATTTGATTGTTTGCTGTGAAAGAAGGGTATGGTTCCTCGTAAGGGGACTTGTTTTGGCGGTGAGGTGTTGTGCCACAAGAATCTGCTAGAGCCTAGGACCATTCTTGAAATTTCTGCTCAAGATACTGGAAACCTTGCAGGGTAGTGATTGTTAGATGTAGCTGAAAAGCATGATAAGATAGCCAACCTCATAGAATTTAATTAATTGTTCCATACTATCAAATTCATTATAAAAAAAAAGAGCACAGAAGCTGTGTATCACTTTATGTTGATCTTTAATTAATAATGGCGCAAATCATCTAGGCCCAAATGGCAATAATTGCCTTTGTCTTTTTTTTTTTTCCTTGTATTATTCATTTGTTGTAATACAGAGGCAGGCAGCAAATCATGGTGTAGAGGTGAATTGAATTTATTACACTTTAGGGATCAGGGAACAGCTTCAAGCATGACAGATTTCTGGGCCCTAATTCTTGCTTGCATACCGAAAAGCAGACGCTGCATTCCCAAATCACAAGGAAATTTCCCCTCAAGTGGCAAATGAAATCTAAGTATAAAAGTTAGCTAACATGACAATGTTAAAAAACGCCTAGAGATTTACTCATGTTCATCGATCTGATTGATTCAATAGAGATTTGGACTCTTCTTCTTCGAGAAACAATACATTAATCAATGGAGGGAGAAAAACCGACACTGATGGAGGCTATCATCATTTCTAGATGAGCTGATCAGCTATGTTTGTACAAGAAAATCACGTGAAATACACTCTGGACTATCTGCTTAATTGAGCCCTACTTGCACTCCCTGGTAGCTCACACCAAGCATGTCTGATCTTCCAAATTACTTCTTGATGCATGTAATTTAAGAAAATGTTTGCTTTTATGTTTTATAAGTATTTTTGAAAAAGATTTGAATTTTTTATTTTTAATTTTATTTTAAATTAATTTATTTGGGAGTTTTTCATGGAATAATATTAAAAATAAATTTTAAAAAATGATTTAAATTTAATGATTCAAATTACAGATTTAAAAAATCAATTATATCTGAAAAAATAATTTTTTTATTTTTTATTAGATTATTCTAATTATATGATTTGTATCATGAATTTAACAAGATATATAAAAGTTAACTTAACTTTAAAGTAGTGCTGTTATAAATTTATCATTTTTTTTTTTTACCTCATTTGATAATCTATCTAAATATTATTTTTACATAAAAAATAATACAGTTGCGTTCCACAACAAAGTATGGACACCGATGCTAGTATATATTATCAAAATGCCATGATATCTTTCAATATTTTGCATTAATTAAGATTTAAATCGTATATATTCCTTTGTCGTCATTTCAGAGTGATTATAAGATTTCCATTTACAAAGGAGAATTTAGAAATGAAAACTACTGTCTCAGTTGTAACTTCCATCTCCCACCAGCGAAGTAGGATGTCAAGACAAGGCAGGAAATGATCTTACTTGATTATCTCTATTTATCAAAGATAGGACAAGGTGAGGACTCCAGCCACATCCCTCCCTCCTCGTAGTAGTTATTAGATAAGGCTAAAATCCTGATCTAATCCAAAGTTCATATATATCAAGAATTTACAAAGATTATCTCAAAATTAAATTGTTTTTATTAAAAAAATTTAAATGATACTATTTGAGATATATTTTTATTTTTAAAAAATAAAACAATGTTGTTTAAACAATGATTTAAACAAATCTAAAAGTTTACTTGGCTAGGTCAAATTAGGTTTTTTAAGAAAATAATTTTTTTAAAAGTAAATAATTTTTTTATATTTAGCAGTGTAATGAAAAATAAATTAAAAAATAATTTTTAGTTTTTTACTATATTATAGAAAATGAGTTGAAAGATAACTTTTTAATTTTTTTAACTTTATTGAAAGAATAGTGACTAAATTTGACACATAAAAGAGTCGAAGGAGATTGAAATTGAAAAAATCAATTTTAAAAATTATTTTAAATAAAATAAATAGTAATTACAAGAATATAAATAAAATTTAATATATAAAAAAATAAAAAATAATTTAATTTCATAAATTATTTCAAATAAAATAAATAGAAAAAATAAAGATATAATCTGATAAATAAAAAAAATTCATTAATAAAAGAATAAGAAAAAAAAAAATAAAAATAAAAAATAAAAATCAAATTTGATATAAAAATCCAATTCAGTTAAATTCTATAAAATAAAATTGAAAAAAAATATTCAAAATAAAATATATAACAATAAAAAAATCAAAGATAAAATTTAGAAAATAATATCTTTTATTTAAAATAAAAAATTATTTTTGTCTGAAAATAAAAAAATCTTTAAATAAAAAATATGTACTAGCTTTTTTAACACTACATAAATACAAAAACATTTTAAAAATTAAGTTTCGGGAAAATATGTTTTTATAAAATAAACGGGTATCAACCACCCAATTTTCACTGCTCACTGAGAGTTGGGGCCCCTTGAATGCTTATCAGAAACCTAACAACCAGAACCATCCAATCTACTGAAGTGAATCTGGCCCACTAAATGGATGGGAACCGTGGAGGTTGGGCTTTTCATCATTAATAGGAGAAGCTGCCTTTTTCATTAACCAAAAAAATATATATTAAAAAATATTTTTTTTATTTTCTTAAAATTTATTTTTAATATTAACACATTAAAATAATAATAAAAATTAAAAAATTAAATTTAAAGCAAAAGGGACTTTTTATAAAAAATCTAGCTGAAAAAAAAAAACCTTCAAACATCCCCAAAAATACCACTGAAGTGAATCTGGCCCACTAAATGGATGGGAACCGTGGAGGTTGGGCTTTTCATCATTAATAGGAGAAGCTGCCTTTTTCATTAACCAAAAAAATATATATTAAAAAAATATTTTTTTATTTTTTTAAAAAATATTTTTAATATTAAAATAATAAAAAAATTAAATTTAAAGCAAAAGATACTTTTTATAAAAACTCCAGCTGAAAAAAAAAACCCTTCAAACATACCCAAAAATAGCAAGCAAATACGCCATTAGAAAATTACTAACTCAATAATTCAATTTCTGTTGTTGGAATCTGGATTATTAATTCATTGTAAACTCAGTGAGGATAATAAAGCTAATCCATACCTTTATTTTTATTACTTAAAACCAAACTAGCAGCTCAAAATTGAGCACGTGTCACACTTTCTTGTCAATCTTGATCATTAATGAAGTTAATCTAACATTAATTGTCCATTAACTCCGACCAAATTTGAATTAATCTCAGATTCCAAGACCTAATTTCCTACGATATTGAAAATGAGTGTTGGAGCTGAAAGGAGCCGAGCTTCGAATAAAACATGATTTGAAAGTAATAATGTTCTTACAATTACAAAATGGTTGTTTGTTTCTAAAATTTCTTTAAATTTGTTGACTTAGTGACCGCTGAAGACGGCAATCTCTGTTCACAAATCATGCTTCAATCAACAAGTTTGTTTACCTTAGAGACAATATAATTGATAATGGGGGCTTCCTGTAACCCGAAGCCATGGCCGACCTCGAGTATAGAACAAGGTGGGAAGATTGTGACCTCTCCCCCATGGCCAGCGAGGGCCACACCCTCATTTCCGATGGAACACCCACTCCGAGTCATAGGAGATTAATATAAAATAAAAACTAATTTAATTTAATAGTTTAAATATGATATTCAATATCATTTATATTATTATCTAAAATATTTTTTTATATAAAAATTTTATGGGTTTAAAACTTACACATACTCCTATTATTTTATATTTAATTATTATTAAATAAATAAAAATAATAAAATTTAAACTTATAATAAATTAATTATTAAATCTTTGATATTATATTAAATAATCAATTTAATTTAATAATTTAAATTTTTAAATATAATTTATATTATTCTCTAATAAAATTAACTAGAATAATCAAACCTCCCATTAATATTAGACACGATAATCACCCCGGATAAGGCTTGAAAGTGATTCTCTGAGGAGGTAACTGTTGCTGAGAATGTCATGGTGTGGCATGAGCCGGGGAGTAGGAGTCCATCACGTGCCATGCAGGGTGGATTGGGAGAGAGCAGCGTCGATTCATCTGGGTCCTTTATGGTTTTTGGATTCGAGGAAGGGTGCGAGTAACGATCACAATAATGGTGGCTGTGCTCGGCTCTTGTTGGGTTGTAGTTTTAGGTCCTTTTCAAGATTTTTGGCACGTAACTAGTTATTATTTTCTTGGGCTACTGGGACAGTCTGAGAGGTATAAGGGAGCAAGATCACATGGATGTGTTGCTCATCAACACTACCTTGATGTGGACAAATTTAGGATGGCCTAGCAAACCATGGCCAGAGCACTGAAATCTCCTCCGGTCAAAGTCAGCAATTAGTCTCTGTAGACCAGTGTAGATTTATCGGGAGGGTGGAAGAACTGGAAACAACTTCCGAGCAATATCGACGAGTAGAAAATACGGTGTTTGTTTTGGTTACTCGAGCCAAAACAATGTTCAACCATTCAAGAGATGGAGGGCTCTGTGA